TGCTCACGGCCACCACAGCCTCGAACGGCTGGGCTTAGGTGATTCTTCCATCTCAGTCTTTCAAGTAGATGGAACTACCATACTCGGCTAATTTTTTGATTTATTGTAGAAATGAGGTCTCACCAAAATTGACTAGGCTGGTCTCAAACCTGTGGGCTCAGGCATTTCTCTCACCTTGGCCTCTCAAAGTGCTGGGGTTATAGGCATGAGCCACTGCACCAAGCCTGGTATTAATATTTTTATTATTTCATTTTATTTTATTTATTGGAATACTAGTTATATCTTTTGGGGTTTTGTTTGATAATTTATATACATATTTATCACAGTTTTCCTTCAGGCATATACTTCCATTTTTCCTCTCCCAGCCTTTGTGCTGGTGTTATCATAATTTTACTTCTACATGTGTCGCAAATCTCTAAATATATTGATTAATATTATTTTTGCTTTAAAAGTAAATTCTCTTTTAAAGGAATTTTTAAAATAAGGAAAATATTATTTTATATTTACCTATATGTTTATTATTTCTGTTTCCCCTTTCTGCTCTGCAGCCTGGGACAGTTGTTAAGGCTTACCTTGTTTCCTTTCTCTTAGTGATTACTGAGCTGAACTGCCTTGTGTCTAGTATCTAAAAAAATCATAGATGCATGTTTTGTCCAATTTTTTAGTTATGTAAGAATAAATCTGTACTCCAGCATATCCTGAAGAAGTCCCTATAATGATACTTTTAATTTTTCTCTGTCCAAATAATTTTTAGAAGAAAATTTTCATTTAATTTAATATTTTTTCCTACCCTTTAGCATTTCTTGTGGTTCAGATCTGTTGGTGATTAATTCAGCTTTTCTGTTCCTTCATTTCTGAAAGATACTGACAGTTATTTTTTTTCAGTACTTTGAAGATCTCGTTCTTCTGACTTGCATTGTTTTCAATGTTTGCTTTCTTTTTTTTCTTAGTTTTTTGTATGTAATGTATTGTTTTCCTCATCTACTTTTGAGACATTCTCTTACAGTTGTTTTTTTAGCAGCTTGATTATGATGTGCCTTGTGTTTGTAGTATGTTGATCTTAGATCTGTGGGTTTCTAATTTTCGCTACACTGGAAAATTTTCAGCCATTATATCTTCATACATGTTTTGCTGTTTCCCTTTCTCTCTCTTCTTCTTTTGGGATTTAGAATACATATAATCTCTCTCTCTCTCTGTCTCTCTCTCTCTCTCTCTCTCTCTCTCTCTCTCTCTCTCTCTCTCGCGCGCGCGCGTGCTTGCTCTCTTTCTCTCTCTCTCTCTCTCTCTCTCTCTCTCTCTCTCTCTCACACACACACATACACATACACACACACACACACACGGCTGCTTGACATTTTCTCATAGTTCAGGGACATGCTTTTATTTTTATCTTTTTTCTCACTTTTATTTTGATAATTCTTTTCCTATGTCTCCTAGTTTCCTAATAATTTCTTTTGCAGGATGCAATCTGTTGTTCATTCCATTTTGTGTAATTTTCATTTCAGAAACTGTAGTTGTATATGTGGTGTGTGTGTGTTTTAAAGATCTCAGTTGGCCTTATTTACATTTCTAGAATTAGGCAGCACTTCATTTCATAAAATAGAATAAGTGTTTCCTCAGATATTGTAGTTTTAACCGCTAGAAATTTTATTTAGATTTTTAACATCTTCCATGTCTCTCCTTAACATGTATAACTTTCTTGTGTATTCTTGAAACTATGAAGTATATATTAATATTTATAATTGTTGTTTTAATGTCTTTGTGCACTGATTTTATTGTGTGTATCATTTCTGAGTCTGTTTCTGTTGATTGATTTTTCTCTTTATTATGCATTGTATTTTCCTGCTTCTTTGCATGCCTGGTAATATTGGAACAGGTGAATTTTATGCTGTTGTTTGTTAGATTTTTAAATTTTACTCTAGATTGCAGTTGTTTGGAAAGAATTCGATTATTTTAAGGTTTACTTTTAAGATCTAATACAGGAGACCAGAACAACCTTTAATCTAGGACTAATTTGGTCTCAATACTGAGGCAATATCCTTCTGAGTACTCAACCCAATTTCCTGTATATTATGAGATTTCTTCATTCTTACTGTTGGAAACATGAACTACTCACAGTTCTGTGTGTATTAGGAATGTTTCTGCCTGCTCCTTTCTAGTGTTCTTTCCTTGACCTTGAAGAATTTTCTCACAGACATGTACTGATGAGCTCTTTGATATAGATTTGAAGGAAACTCTCTGCAGATCTCCAGGGCTCTCTTTGTAGTTCTTTCCTCTTTTGCACTGATTCTGTGAATTCTAGTCACGTTGGCCTTCCTGAATACTCAATTCTTTCTTTTCAGTTCACTATGTTTGGGTTCCCTTTCTGCTCTGCAGCCTGGGATAGTTGTTAAGGCTTACCTTGTTTCCTTTCTCTCAGTGATTACTGAGCTGAACTGCCTGTGTCTAGTTTCTGAAAAATCATCTTTCTGCACATTTTGTTTAGCTTTTTAGTTATGTAAGAATAAATCTGCACTCCATCATATCCTGAAGCAAAGTCACTGTAATTATACTTTTAATTTTCCTCTGTCCAAATGATTTTTAGAAGAATATTCTTCTTTGTTTAATTTTCAGGTTTTCATGGGGCTTTTAAAAGGATGTTTGCTTCTCTGTTGAAAATTTTAAAAATAACTAATGGTTTTATTGTGCTGTGCTCAGAGAATGAAACTTGTACCATTTCTTCTTTTGAAATTTTATCCTTTCTTTGTAGCTTTTTAAGGTTATGCTTTGAGGTTTCTTCATGTGCATCTTTCAAAATGGTGTTTAATAGGAATCAAATATACACACTATCATAAATAGTCATTCTTATTAGTTATATATTTTAAATACCGTGACTTTACTTTGTGCCTTTGAATTCATTGTAGATTGACAGAAAGTCTCTATTTTTTTTTTTTTTTTTTGAGTTGGAGTCTCACTCTGTCACCCAGGCTGGAGTGCAGTGGCATGCTTATGGCCACTGCAGCCTTGACCTGCTAGGCTCAGGTGATCCTTCCCTTCAGCCCTTCAAGTAGCTGGAACTACAGGCACATGCTACCACACCCTGCTTACTTTTTGATTTCCTGAAGAGAGAAGGTCTCACCAAGTTGCCCTAACTGGTCTCGAACCCCTGAACTTAGGCAATCCTCTTGCCTCAGCCTCCCAAATTGCTGGTATTACAGGCTTGAGCCACTGTGCCCGGCCGAGTCTCTCAATTTTATTTATTTTTTATTTTATTTTTTGAGTCAGAGTCTCACTCTGTCTCCCAGGCTGGAGTGTAGTGGCATGCTCATGGCGACCCCAGTGTCGACCCACAGGGCTCAGGTGATCCTTCTGCCTCAGCCTTCCAAGTAGCAGGAACTACCTGTGTGTGCTACCATGCCCGTCTAATTTTTTAATATATTGTAGAGACAAGGTCTCACCAAGTTGCCCAGACTGGTCTTGAGCCCCTGGGCTCAGGCAATCCTCTTGTCACGGCCTCCCAGGGGTTCAAGACCAGTCTGGGCAACTTGGTGAGACCTTGTCTCTGGCTGGCATTCATACAGAGCCAGCATATATTCTAAGCTGAGCATTCAGCACTGTGCTGAGCATTCAGCAGTTTTTGACCCCAAACGACATGACCCTTGTGTCCCACCCTCCCTATTCACCTGATCTCACCCCGAGCAACACTTTTTTTGTTTCCTTGGATGCAAAAAGTCCTCAAAGAGAAACATGTCCTGATGTCATTGTCCCTGATGTAGAAGAGGTGAAACAGAAGATGGCAGAAACACTAAAAAGCATCAAAATTGATGAGTTCAAAAACTATTTAGCAGCCGGGCATGGTGGCTCACACCTATTATCCCAGCACTTTGTGAGGCCGAGGTGAGAGGATTGCCTGAGCCCACAGGTTCGAGACCAGCCTGGGCAACTTGGTGAGACTTCATCTCTACAATAATCAAAAAATTAGCAGGGTGTGGTGGTGCACACCTATAGTTCCAGTTACTTGGAAGGCTGAGGCAGAAGGATTAGCTGAGCCCAGCAGGGCGAGGCTGCAGTGGCCATGAGTGTGCCACTGCACTCTAGCCTGGGCGACAGAGTGAGACTCCAGTTTTGCAAGTGAGAAAAGCATCTTGATAGGTGTACTGCATGAAACGAAGAGTTCTTTGAAGGCGAATGAAGTTTAAACATGTAAGAATATTATTTTTTAATAAATAAATTCCAGGGTTTTTGAGTCCCCCTTTTACATTGCCTCCTAATTTCAAAGAATCCTACAAATGCCATTTAAGCCTACCAGCCGCCATCCCACTTATCTTTCCACCTAATTTCTCATTCCCAAACCTTACAGAGTGTTCTATAATAATATATAATAATAATAATAATTGTGTAATAATTTTAGTAATTTTTTGTGTCACCTTTAGCCTTTGTAATTCTTACTGAAGAGGTATTGGGCATCCTGACCAATAAATGTTTAGGGGAGAGAAATCTTTCCAAATGAAATAATTACATTTTGTTTGCACAGAAATCATTAAGCTGCTCTATTTAATATTTTTTGGTGACAGTATTTTTCTATATTCTTCATAATTTTCCCTTTAAAAGTTGCAAATGTTGGTCAAAATATACCATATTAAGAAATACATGAAATTTTCATAAAAGTACACTGTCAAATTAAATTATAAATGCTTTAATCTAAGTTCTTCCTTGCTTTTTAATTCTCAAGATTAAATTCATAATACAGTTACTTGTGTATTTACTTGCTCTGCTTTCTCATTATGATTGGGAATAGCATCTTCCCTGAGGAGCTAATATATTAGCAGATGAATCTGTTATTATTACTATCAACATGCTATTGTTAGGAACCTTTAATTACATTTTTAAACAAGATGGTCAAACCAGTTGACTTAAAGCTGAAAAAAGTGATGAGAAAAAATTTTCTTTATCCCTAGCCTTTTTTTTTTTTTGGCTCAAGAACTAATTTTGCCTCAGCCTTACACGCATTTTTATGACGTTACTTGATTGAGGAGGGAGGAAGAAAAAGAGAGAGTGGTGACCTGTTGTGCGTATCTAAAAGCGAGTGTTAGAGAGGGAGAGGAGGACGCATAAGCAAGCTGGTTTGACCAGAAACAGAACTGCCTGTGACAGATTAAGAGACAAGCAAGGCTTGGAATCGGAGAGCCAGCAAAGAGAGTGGAAATTTACAGCTGCTCTGTGTGTTCAAGTGATCATTTTCTGCTAAGGTTTTCCGGTGGTAACTGTTACTCTTCAAAAAGAGAGACAGAAAGTCAAGACGGAATGTGGAAACTTTTCTCTGCCACACTTTGGTAATAGGTAACCTTTATTAAGTGGAACATAAAGGCTACTTCACCTAAGGTGCTTTGAGCCCTAGAAAGAGCTGTCTTCAGCACCTCACCATGTGTCTACCTTTTGTTGCTTAGAGGAACCTGGCATTTCTTTAACATTTGGTGAGTACCAACAAGATTTTCTATACTGCTTCATAGAAATGGAATTAATTTGGTAAACTTTAGTTTTAACTGAGGTTCTGCAGTTATTGTTTATGTATTCATTTTAAACCATGCTGTTACCTTGTTTCTTTGTGCATAATGAACTGCTGTTACTAGGAGAGGTTTTAAAAAACAACAACTACAAAACAATACTTCTCTGTTGCCTAAGGCACTTGAACCATTACCAAGTATTCTGTGTCCATGGAATATCTTATTTTGAAAATGGGTTTTTATTTACAAAGAGTTTCCAAAAATAAAATAGTGGCAGTACAGTGTACCGTTTTTCATGTTTCTCTTTCAACTACATGAAAAATAAAAGTTACCTTTTTTTGTCTATTGTTGGTAAATTTAAAATGAACATTGTGATGTTTGGTATTATAAATTATTATAAATTACAGCACTTCCTCATATTTCAAATAAAAATGTTGATACCATTTATTAAAAATATATGTAATTTAAATGTTGAATGCTTCTGTTAGATCCAACAAGTGATACTTGATTTTAGCTATTTGATGTAAAATGAATGCACATGGATTTCTAAGTAAAAAAAAAAAAAAGCGGTTATTTGGTTCTTATAGCTGATCCCAAGCTCTTCTTGTATAATCTTAATCTGTTGAAGAGCTGTTATAACCTAGTTATGTGTGTGTGTGTGGGTGTGTGTGTGTGTGTATAAGCAATAGAGCAAAGAAAAAGAAACTCTTAAAATATCTATTCACATTCCAATAAAACCTTCATTTGTATAATCTTAAAATATAAAACTGTATGCTAATTGTATATATCTTTTTAAAGGCGTGGATGAAAGGCATGTAACCATTCTTCTGTAGGAGGAAGGAAGTATATATTGTTAACTGCTAAATTGAGTCATTGCATAAAAATGCACTACTCTAAGCAGTTTCTAGTCTGCACTCTGCTAGCCTCAAGAAACTTGTATGTGTGTGTGTGTATTCATGCCTTTAGTTATTAATTTAGTGAGTTCTTTAAAGGTGAAATAACTTAGTTGAAATGAAAACTTCTGCAGAGTGTTAGTAAATGCATTAAAAGTGTTTGTACTCCAGACATAATATAAAATGGCTGTACTTTCTCTAATACTTCCTCTACATGTACCGAAGCCTGTAGAACAGGTTTTGTTGTGGGATTTTTTTTTTTTTCTTTTCAGTTTTTGTTTTTTTAGGCTGTTGACCTATGTATAAGAAACAACTCAGCTGGTCTATGGAAACCTTTTCTAGACCAGTATCTTGCACTTAAAGTCTAAAGTAAATATTGTAGAGATAATATCACAAATCAACTTTTGCATCTTTACAGAATTTCCCACACGTAGTCCTTAGATGATGAAAAGTTATTTGCATACAGCTTTACAATCTTCAGAATAATTTTTTATTTTAAACTAGTCATTCACTGGTGTTACCCTAGTGATGGCACCATTTCTTAGCCCATAGTAATATAAATATAGAAATAAAGAATAAGTCATCCCCAATTTACAAATGCTTTTTATTTCAGTAGTTTACTTGTAAGTGGATTGTTGGAAATTTAGAATCCATCTTCCCTGGGAAACAATTTTTCAAGTGACTGAGCTTTTATTATAGCCTAAGAATGTATTTTATTCACAGTATAGAAAAGCCATTGCTACCTTGAAAAATATTAGAAAGTCAATACCAGTGATGAAACTAAATATAAATAATAATGTTGGGTCAGGCATTATTTTTATTTATCCTGAATATTAATAACTGAAGAGAAACAAGTTTAATAAGAGGTGCCTAGGCATTTGGAAGGATGCTTATAGGTTTTTTAGGTACTTTCATGAGCTTTTAAGGTTGATTGTGCTGTTTATGAGATCGAATCTGATGTTGAAATCAGTGAGTTCTCTTTTCTATAGGAATATTTTGCTATAGTAATATTTTGGCCATTGCTTTTATACTTAACCAGCTATTTCTGAGGTCTAGCCCAGTGTGTGGCACAGAGCAGGTACCTCATAAATAGCTATTACATGAGAACTAAACTGTTTCTTTGGTTTGCAAGAATTGAATTGAGTACTTTTTCCCAAGATATCCAAAAAAGGAGAGGGGTTTAGGGGCACACATTTTTCATTATGAGAAAGAGATGACCTGACAAGAATTGAATTGTAGGATGTGAATAAAGCAAAAATAAGACATAATAGACCTAACTCTTAAAAGAAAAAGATAAGACTGTGGTCTGACTTGTTGGCTATCTTGAATGGGTAGGGTTGGTGATGAGGGAAGGCAGTTTACAAAGTTAGGTGTCTTGAGTACATGGGACATTCTGAAGTCAAGTGTCAACTTTAACTCAGAAGGATTATGTATTTGCAAATGTCTACCAGGACCCGTACGAAGATTTTAGCTATTTGATGTAAAATGAATGCACGTGGATTTCTAAGTAAAAAAAAAAAAAGCGGTTATTTGGTTCTTATAGCTGATCCCAAGCTCTTCTTGTATAATCTTAATCTGTTGAAGAGCTGTTATAACCTAGTTGTGTGTGTGTGTGTGTGTGTGTGTGATCAGCTCTTTTGAAAAAGTCAGATTAGGCTTATCCCAATTAACCTCACTGGCTCTGAAATTTTTCTCTGAAGTGTCAATATATAAACTTTAAAAGTTAGCTCGTGACCCACCTGGGCAACTTGGTGAGACCTCATCTCTACAATAAATCAAAAAAATTAGCCAGGTGTGGTAACGTGCACCTGTAGTTTCAGCTACTTGGAAGGCTGAAGTGGAAGGATTGCCAGAGCCCAGCAAGTCGAGGCTGCAGTGGCTGGGAGCAGCCACTGCACTCCAATCTGGGTGACAGAGTGAGATTCCAACTCAAAAAAATAAAAATAAAAATAAAAGTTAGCGATGTACTGCACATATGTAATGGAATAAGCAATACAGTAGATGCAGGTTATACTTATCTGGAATGATTTGTAGTGACAAAAAAACTCCTTGATTTGATCAATAAATACTTTCTTCATTCTATTTTAAATTGTATTTAAAAAGTAATGATTTCAAAGTCAGGCGCTGTGGCTCTCACCTGTAATCACAGCACTTTGGGAGGCCGAGGTGAAAGGATTGCTTGAGCCCAGGAGTTCGAGACCAGCATAGGCTACATAGTGAGACCTCTTCTCTACAAAACTAAAAAAATTTTTAAAAAAATTTTTAAGTAATGATTTTGGGTAGTAGTAAGTGGGATATAATAGGTTCTTAATACTTAATAGATTATGGTGGATTTAGACATTTTCCATCTCTTAAGATTTTAATGTCTGTGTCTACATGTACACATATTTATAATGTGACTTAAAGATATTATTTAGCTGATATTCCCCTAACATGGAAAAATCTATCAAGACTGTATTAGTATGCCTATTAATTATTGACATACTTAGTATTCCATTGGTAATGAAAGTAATTGATTTAAACAGAAATCTTTATTGCTTATAGCAAGATAATATACTTTCCAGTTTTGTGACTTTTATCTTAAATATTTAGCAGAAACTCATCTAGTCTCTCAACTTTGGAAGGATGAAAGATTATATTTAATTACCCAGCCAGAAAAACTGAATCAACCCTGGGCATCTATAGAATAAGAGATAAATTTAGCCAATTCACTTTCCTCTCTACTCTCCCACATTAATGTTTTTATAGATTGACAGTTCATAGGCAGGCTTACTGAAGCTAGAAATAATTATATTTCACACTATGCTTATAAACCATGTCTTAATGCCATTAACAATATCTAATCAAAATCTGTTGTATGTAATATGTATGTGCTTACATGAAAGACTGAAAAAAATGAATTATGAATTTCCCTTGTTCTAAAATTCTATTGTTAAGAATAACCATTTGTGCATTTCAGTGAGATCTGATGCTTTTTGTTTTTTGTTTTGTTTTTTGAGTTGGAGTCTCACTCTGTTGCCCAGGCTGGAGTGCACTAGCACACTCATGGCCACCACAGCCTCGACCTGTTGGGCTCAGATGATCCTTCCACCTCAGCTTTCCAAGAAGCTGAAACTACAGGCATGCGCCACCATATCCAGCTAATTTTTTGATTTATTGTAGAGACAAGGTCTCACCAAGTTGCCCAGGCTGTTTTCAAACTGCTGGACTCAGACAATCCTCTTGCCTCGACCTCCCAAAGTGCAGGGGTTACAGGCTTGAGCCACTGCTCCTGGCATGAGATCTGATGCTTTGATGGTACTTACCAGTTTTTGAGAATACTAATCTAGATTCAGATCTATACATTGAGATTGTAAAATTTCAACATAAAAATTACCATTTTTTGACAATAGCTAATAAATGTAAAAAATTTTAGCTTTGACAAATGACTGGAGCTATCAAAGAAGACATTACTATGAACCTAATAAGTGAAATTACTGGTTGTTTTTTCTGGAACATTAGATAGTAAATGTATTATTCGTTGTATATCTTCCTAACTTTATATAGTAAATTTATTTAAAAATATTTCAGTGATACAGTATGTTAGAAATGAGGAGCAATTACCAAGGGAATTGGATTTCTCTCATGAAAGAGTTTTTATTCTGATGTAAGTCTGACTGAGGCTTCCAAATGAGTGAGGACTCATAAAAAGTTCACAAGTTTTCCATTTCTGTGTAAATTGCCCATTTTAAGAAAATGTCTCTCCCTCAAATTGTGTTAATAAAACTTATAAAAACAAAGTCATTCTTAGTCATTTGAACTAAGAAAAAGGATTATTAGTGAAAGTAGTTATAGTCTACATCGTTGTTACACTCACGTCTATAGGTTTTCAAGTACAAAATTCAGTTGTGGTGGCTTCTAATTACATTTATGATGTATATTTAAAAATTAAAAAATTAGAGGCTAGAATATATCGATTGGAAGATACTTTGACATATATAATATGCTATATAATGGATTTGGTGTCATAACATACACAACTATAATGATATATTTTGATTTTATTATCTCTGTGAAGGCAGTTTTAAATTATGTTTT